ATAGGTCTATTACAACTCTAGATCTGCCCCTCATTTCCTTACAAAGCAGGAGTCTTACCAGCCCACCGTAATCAATTGAATCAATTGCAAAAACTCTCTCACATTCTCTTTTGATGGCTAAAAAGGATGTTCGTTAAATGGCTCCCTGACCATTGCTGGGGTAAAAGAGATCCTCCTTACAAAGTCAGCTTTTTCCTCTTTCTGCTCTCCCTAAGGGAAGCTCCCCTCTCTTTCTTCCGGAAGCCATGACGACTGTTAGGAATAGTTCCCACCTCAAGGGTTTCTTATAACATCTTTCATAGGAGGTGAGCACTGACAAGTCTCCACCACAGTGCTTAAAGTCAAGGCCTAGAGAAGCTATATTAGTTAGGATACAGGTTCAGCTGCTTTAAAAGAATAGTGGGGGAAATATTTTCTCACTTAGTAATCCAGAAGGAGGTGGTTCAGAGAAGTAGGGCAGCTCTGCTCCATGAGGTCATCCAGGAACCCAAGCTTCTACCTTGTGAACAATCATGTTTTCCTTATCCACCTGGTACATGATGGTTCATCACTGCATCCTCATTCAGCCAATGAGAAGAAGAGAAAGAGGGTAGGGGAAGGCCCGAGACTCTGGCATAGAACGAAGAGGTGAAAACATCTTGTTGCATGTACAAGCCAAGAACTGCCAAAGTTTGCCAACAAACCACTGGAATCTAGACAAGAAGCATGGAACAAATTCTCACTGATAGCCCTCAGAAGGAAACAACCCTGCTTACACCTTGATTTCAGTTTTCTCCAGACTTTGAAACAATAACTTTGTTATTTTAAGCTATCCAGTTTAGAGTACTTTGTTACAGTAGCCCTGGGAAACTAATACAGTTAGTTAGTCTCTAGATATTTGGGTAGGTCTAAGTAAGGTTTGGAAATTCTATCTGGAGGTGCCTATAAACTATAAAGCAATATACAAACAAGGTACAATAATTAAGCAAGAATATGCCCTCAAGGGTTAACTGTCTCTAGCCAAGGACTTGGTAGGATAGTTGCTGAATTCTGTCTTACTTCTCACTTTTCTTCATCCCACCCCTCCCTCTCACCATCACCAGCACACAAAAACATCTACTCAAGTCCGAGGGGAATTCCTAGCTTATATTTGTTGTGAAGGATTCAGCTGGGCAGTATTCAGCTCCTCTTTTTATTTTTTTTATTTTTTTTGTATAATGCTGTAAAAAGCTGCATTTATTGCAATTTTTTTTCTTTTTTTTTTTGAATTTTATTTTATTTTTTTTATACAGCAGGTTCTTATTAGTTATCCATTTTATACACATCAGTGTATACATGTCAATCCCAATCTCCCAATTCATCCCACCCCCACCCCCACCACCCGCTGCTTTCCCCCTTGGTGTCCATATGTTTGCTCTCTACTTCTGTGTCTCTATTTCTGCCCTGCAAACCAGTTCATCTGTACCATTTTTCTAGATTCCACATATATGTATTAATACACGATATTTGTTTTTCTCTTTCTAACTTACTTTACTCTGTATGACAGTCTCTAAGTCCGTCCATGTCTCTACAAATGACCCAACTTTGTTCCTTTTTATGGCTGAGTAATATTCCATTGTATATATGTACCACATCTTCTTTATCCATTCTTCTGTCGATGGGCATTTAGGTTGCTTCCATGACCTGGCTATTGTAAATAGTGCTGCAATGAACATTGGGGTGCATGTGTCTTTTTGAACTGTGGTTTTCTCTGGGTATATGCCCAGTAGTGGGATTGCTGGGTCATATGGTAGTTCTCTTTTTAGTTTTTTAAGGAACCTCCTTACTGTTCTTCATAGTGGCTGCATCAATTTACATTCCCACCAACAGTGCAGGCGGGTTCCCTTTTCTCCACACAGTATTCAGCTCCTCTTGAAGATCTTTCTCCAAGCCTGAACTGTTCATTGCATCTAACCTACTCATCTGCTTTCTGGAAGATTAGGAATTTCTCTGGAACAAGTGTTTCTGTTTGAAGGGATTCTGTTCAGAAAAATCACTCATCCTCAAGGTACCTCCCCCTGCCCCAAGAGAAACGGGATGAGGGGTGGTTGGAATCCTTCAGCAGGCCCTGCGACCATTCTGGCTCAGCACAGTCAGCAATGACTTTGTAAGCTCCTGACTTGCTGAGGATAGTGGTTTTGTGTAATTAGAAGTCCTCCATTGGCTTTTCTATATTTGGGGAATCAAGTTCCATCTACTCACCGCTTAGGGTTTTGTAAGGTGATTTAGGGCCATTTGACCTCAGAATTGCTCATAGTCTAAAAGAATAGGTCATAGGCACCAGGAAGGTAAGGGTGTCTTAGTATACAGGCAGAAAACCAAGATAGGGAGTTGGAGGTTAGGCTGGAAAGGATTTGACATGGAGGGGGTTCAGCTACCAGAAGGAGTGAAGAGGTCAGAGTAAGGTCCCAGACCTGAAAGAAAAGGGTAGCGGGAAAGAAGCCAGTCTTGGACACATGAAGAAAAGGACTCAGTGACAAGGAACAAGTCTAGATCTTGAGGATAGAACTGTGGGTCAAGGCCAGAGAGATTCTGGCAATGAGAGTGACTTAGGGGTGAACTCACAAACTCTCACCTGAGGCTTTAAAATTACATTTGGTTCTGAACAGGCTTTCTAGCAGAGCCAATTATTTACTGAGCACATGTTGAGCACCTGTGAGATGTTAAGACCTGTACTAGGCACTGTGGGTTACAGAGATGACAGTCATTCTCAAGGAGTTCACAGTTTGGTAGGCCAGGAATCAAAGAGAAATCAGTGACAGTATAGTGTATTAAGTACAATAAGAGAAGTATGGCAGAAGAGGGGAATGTCGTAGTGGTTAAGAGCCCAGGATCTGGCTTCAACAGATTTGAATTTAATCTTGACTCTCCAATTATAGGTTGCGTGAAACTGGGAAAGTCACTAAGCTTCTTGAAGCTTCAGTATTTTTTCTTGGAGATGGAAATAACAATAGTGCTTATCCACTTTATATGATTCTTTCAAGGGTCAAATTAGATCATACATGCCTGGCATCTAGTAAATTCCCAATAGCATTGACTATTGTGTGTAATAATAGTTGTTATTATGTATTATAATTATATGGGGGAAGGTAATGTCAGAAAACGTTTCCAGGAAAAGGTGGCATTTGAGCTGAATGTTGAAAGATAAAGAGAAGTTAGCTGGGTCTGGGGTTGGGAGAATGCTAATGAAGTGCTTTTGTTTTTAACTATGCTCTGCTAGATTCCTCAAATGATTTTAGGTAGGATGATGAATTTAGTGTTAGTCAAATTGAGTCTGAGCTGGCTGTGAGCAACACAAGATGTTTTGACCTCTTTGTTCTAACCCTACTATAATCTCAAATCATACATATTTGCCCCATTAATGATTAGAGCTCCATGAAATGAATATAACTATTAGTCTTTTTTCTACTTGATTTTGAATACTACAGATAGAAATAACACAAAATAAATTGATGAAGCTATATTTACACCCAGTAAACAATTTGGTTGAAAAATTGACATTCAAGTCTTCTTAACGCAGGAAACTGGACTGGATAGCAGGGGAAAAAAAAAAAAAGGCCACAAAAGAAAACTTACTTTGCATGAAATTATAATAGATAACATTTGGTATGGATAAAAATAAACAAAATAGGGGTGAGATAGGGAGTGTGGGAGGGAGACGCAAGAGGGAGAAGATATGGGGATATATGTATATGTATAGCTGATTCACTTTGTTATACAGCAGAAACTAACACACCATTGTAAAGCAATTATACTCCAATAAAGATGTTAAAAAAATAAAGGGGTTCCCTGGTGGCGCAGTGGTTGAGAGTCCACCTGCCGATGCAGGGGACACGGGTTCGTGCCCCGGTCCGGGAAGATCCCACATGCCGCGGAGCGGCTAGGCCCGTGGGCCATGGCCGCTGAGCCTGCGCGTCCGGAGCCTGTGCTGGAGGAGCCTGGGCCACAACAGTGAGAGGCCCGCATACCACAAAAAATTAAAAAATAAAAATAAAACTGATTAATAAATCAAATCTTTGTTGTAATGTAGAAAAGAATTACTTTGAATTAATTCAAAACAAAGTAATTTCAGGAAAATAAAAAATTTAAATAAAGCTTAACTGCACTCTATAAGAAATTAATATAGAAATTAAGTGGTCATAGTCAAGTTCATTCCAAAATATATCTTGTAGTTGAAAAGCCTTCCATATTGATATAATTCTGATGAACATATTTGAATTTATAAACCTAGAATCAAAACATCCATGGGTGCAAAACAGTGGGTCAAAATCTCCAGTGCTTGCCCGTGACATCCAGGTGGATGAGCCAAAGAAGCAATTGGAACTCTGTCTAGATCTTAAGAAGTACAGGGTACAAATAAGGATTTTGAAGTCATCACCACATAAGTATTCATCTGTTTTCTTTTGCATCTTCCATAAAATAATAATGCCTGGTAAGAACTTAATAAATATTTGTTGAATGTTAGATTCTCTCTAGTCAGCCCTACAAGCATTATGAACATAGGAATTGTACCTATAGAGTCAATCATTTTAATTTAGCATTTACTGAATACTTTACAAAAATAAACTCTCACAGCTTTGAGAATAATTATAGCAACACTTAGGTCCAGTGAGACTTGGACACCTGGAGTGTCCAACAGAAATATACTATTTCTAGTTCATAAGATGAAAAACATTTTTTTAACATATGATATTTCTTTAATGGTTGTAAGTCTATTGAGGTTTTGTTTCTGCTTGTGTCCATTTTGGAAGAGTACATTTTTTTCTAGGAAAGATTTTGCCAAATATTTCAAATAAGTATTTTTTTCATAGCTTCCTCTCATTTAAAAAATCTCTACTTCTGTGGTTACGTCCCCATTTTGGTCCTAAATTGTTATTAGTGTCTATTAAGATAAAATATTTTTATCCTTATGTTCTGTATCATTCACTAAACATTTGTTCTTTTAAAAATTGTTTTCTTTCTTTTTAAATTTGCTTCCATAGATTTCTTCATTCTGCATTTAGCAAGGTCATGGAAGATCTAGAGGAAACATTATTTGAAGACTTTGAGAACTACTCCTATGCCCTGGAATATTACTCCCCAGAGACTGATTTGGAGGAGAAAGCACACCTAGGAGTCGTTCACTGGGTCTCCCTCGTGTTATACTGTTTGGCATTTGTTCTGGGCATTCCAGGAAATGCCCTTGTCATTTGGTTTACGGGATTCAAGTGGAAGAAGACAGTCACCACTCTCTGGTTCCTCAATCTAGCCATCGCAGATTTCATTTTTCTTCTCTTCTTGCCCCTGTACATCTCCTATGTGGCCATGAATTTCCACTGGCCCTTTGGCATCTGGTTGTGCAAGGCCAATTCCTTCATTGCCCAGTTGAACATGTTTGCCAGTGTTTTCTTCCTGACGGTGATAAGCCTGGACCGCTATATCTACTTGATCCACCCTGTCTTATCTCATCGGTACCGGACCCTAAGGAACTCTCTGATTGTTATTATAGTTGTTTGGCTTTTGGCTTCACTAATGGGTGGTCCCGCCCTGTTTTTCCGGGACACTCTGGAGTTCAATAACCACACTCTTTGCTATAACAACTTCCACGAGCATGATCCTGACCTCACGTTGATGAGGCATCATATTCTGACCTGGGTGAAAGTTATTGTTGGGTACCTCTTCCCTCTTCTAACAATGAGCATTTGCTACTTGTGCCTCATCTTCAAGGTGAAGAAGCGAAGCATCCTGATCTCCAGTAAGCACTTCTGGACCATCCTGGCTGTGGTCACTGCCTTTTTGATTTGCTGGACTCCGTATCACCTGTTTAGCATTTGGGAGCTCACGATTCACCACAATAGCTATTTCCACCAGGTGCTGCAGGCCGGAATCCCCCTCTCCACTGGCTTGGCATTCCTCAATAGTTGCTTGAACCCCATTCTTTATGTCTTAATTAGTAAGAAGTTCCAAGCACGCTTTCGGGCCTCAGTTGCTGAGATACTAAAATATACGCTGTGGGAAGTGAGCTGTTCTGGCACAGTAAGTGAACAGCTCAGGAACTCTGAAACCAAGAATCCGTGTCTCCTGGAAACAGCCCAGTGAATTCTTACTCTTGCACAGATCATATGGCTTTTGTGTGGGTCCCCTGACAGATGCTTTCGGATTGTTTGGGTCCAAGACATAGAGCTGACTGTATCTTTTTATTGTTTTTGGTCATTTTATTGGCATCATATTTTTCTACTGATATAAAACATAAGAAGGATCTTCATTTTTTTCCAACAACTTAAATTATCTGTGTTATTCTTGCTAATTATACTGTAGTGGATTAACACTATTTTTTCAATTTTAATGACTTTTTAAAAGTTCTAAATCTTAATATTAAATATATGACTAATTTCAAAAATATAAAAATATGTGTGCTTAAGCTCACTTTAATTTTGCACAAGTAACCTATTAGACCTAGTCTTAAAATACAACATATGTACTTAATTTCTTTATTTCATGTAATCTGTATTTGCATTTATGAATTAAAGTAATAGTTGGTTAGAGTAGGTTAAAACTGTCCCAAAATCTAGTCGCTTAAAATAGCAATTTATTATTACTATTATATCTCACAAGTCTGAGGATCAGCAATTTAAACAAGGCACAGAAGGGAGGTTTGCCTCTCTGCTTCGCAATATCCGGAGCCTCAGCTGGACCAGGATGACCCAGCTGGCTGAGGTTTAGAACAGCTGGGGACTGGCTGAGCGGCTCTCCTCCCTTCTCCCCATCCCCTTCCCTTCCTTCTCCTTCCCCTCTCTCTCCTCCCCTTCCCTCCTCCCTTCTTCTCCTCTCCTTTCTTCACACGGGTATTCCAGCATAGCATCTCATCTCAGGGTTAGCCGGACTTATATGGCAGTGTAGGGCTCTAGAGACCAGGGTAGAAATTTCTACTCCTCTTAAAGGCTATGCCAGACACTGGCACAGTATCACTTCCACTGTACTCTACTGACCAAAGCAGTCACTGGCCAGCTCAGATTCAAAGGGAGGGGACATATACCCTACCTCTCAATGGGGATATATGCCCATCTTTAATTCCCCATGATATCATTATAAACATTAATGTTGGGCTTCCCTGGTGGTGCAGTGGTTGAGAGTCTGCCTGCTGTTGCAGGGGACATGGGTTCGTGCCCTGGTCTGGGAGGATCCCACATGCCGCGGAGCGGCTGGGCCCATGAGCCATGGCCGCTGAGCCTGCGCCTCCGGAGCCTGTGCTCCGCAACAGGAGAGGCCACAACAGTGAGAGGCCCGCGTATCGCCAAAAAAAAAAAAAAAATTAATGTTTTTGGAAAATTCTGAGTATGTATATACGCAAATAAGTATAAGATTGCTATAAACATGAAACACTGACATCCAGATAGTAGATAGGCCAGCTCAATATCAGAATGATTTCAGGAAAATAAAGCATGTATGACGTGTTGATATATTTCTACCTTCTATTCCTATATTTATAAGACCAATAAAGTATACCTTTAAGTCAGTGACCTCTTCATGGTGCAAATCTGTTGCACTTAAGACTAATAGTATTTTGACTTCTATTCATTTATGCCTTTAGCAAATAGATGAATAAGAGTTATACAGAACCATGGTAGACAGATACTGTGAGGGATGCCAAGATGCATAAGGTACTTATAGGGGGTGAGATTAAACTTGCATAAAAACAATCCTAAAACAAGGTAGACAGTAGTAAGTGCCGTAAGAGAGCCAAGACACATGTAGACTGTTCAGAGGAAAGAGATGGCCTCCAGTGTGCAGGTCAAGAAACACTGGAAATCTATGTCCTCGCAGTTGGGGTTTCCTAAAGATCCTGCTCCTTTTTCACGTCTCTGTTTGTACCCTGTCTTTTATGAATACAAACTCTGCTATTTACTGCAATTTTAAAAACATTTAATTTTCTATAATTTCTCGGTTTTATTTTGAAAGTCGTGAGGGGAGCTATGTTATTCCTTGAATCGGTATCCTTTTTTATTTCATCTCATAGTTTTTAAAAATGCTAAGATCAGATCATTTATTGGCTCTGTTCTTTACTGTTAGCCCCATGCAACAATCAGATCTGGTTTGGAAATCATTCCAAGAAAAAAAATGTGTGGCATAGCTCAGCCTATCCCAAATTTCTGTCGTTCCCAAGATTCCTGGCTTCTGCCATACTCAGCATGGGTTAAGGGAAGACAAGGAGAGAAAGGCTCATTGTGAGTTTCCAGCCCTTTGTGCAGCCTTGAACCCCGCCCCTGCACCACCAGGGCTTGCGATATTCCACTCTGGTGTCCCCCTCGACCCTCAATGGACAGGCTCTCAGGATCAGGAGAAAAGCTGGAGGATCCAAGAAAGAAAAGAGAATTCTGTAGGTTCATCCCTAGTTTGGGCAAAGGGAGACACTGACTCTGAAGGCTGGGGGAGAAAGAGGAAGGCTGAGGAGCAGGAAGGAAGGGGATTAAGCAACCAGGGGCAAGAGTACTTACAGAGCTGGTGGTGGTCGGGAAGTTACATTTCAGGGCGGTGCTTCCTAAGCTTTGTGAGTTAGGAACCCGGGCGGAGCTGTTCGTTTTTCCCACGCTACGGGCTACAGGCACAGTATCTAGGGCCTGTGAGCTTTCCAGAGGCCTATGAAAATATTTGAGATCCTGAAAAGTATCATTGGCTCTAGAATAGAAAAAGAAAACTTGAGGGAATTCCCTGGTGGTCCAGTGGCTAGGACTCCGAGCTTTCCGTGCCAGGGGCCTGGGTTCGATCCCTGGTCGGGGAACTAAGATCCAGCAAGGCTCGCAGCATGGCCAATAAATAAATAATAAATAATAAATGACTTGAAAAGTCAGAATTAATAAATACTCTGAATTCATTTGAAAATCGATTGAAAGTTATGGGTCCTTTCCCCAGAAAAATGCTTTTAAATAAAATTTCAGGGGATCCTTGTAACCTAGGCTAAGAACTCCAGTTTTAGTGGCTTTTTAAATAGCTGAGAGTGGGGCTGTGACTTACAGGAATCTACTAGTAGAAAGTAGCAACCAGGGCAGGAACTTTCCAGCAGAAACAGGAGTTAATTTTTTATTCTCAGCTTGAGGGAAGATCTAAAGTGTAGCATAGGACCCAAGCTTGGACCCCAGCATTGGAGACTCCCCAGCCAGCTTCCTCCCCTGGCAGCTGGAATCTGGATAGTGGGGCTCTCCAGGGGTCTAATGATCCCTAATGGGCAGGATGAGTGACCGAAAGGACAGAGGGGCTGGAGGAGAGGAGGGCACTGGGGCAATTTGAGGAGGAAGCAAGGAAGCTCAATGCCTAGTTGGCAGGAGAATAAAGAATCTCAGGGCTCCCAGGGACTGGGGCATAAACCCAACAAGACAGACCTGGCTCCCTCTCGATGGAAGGAAGCTCTTCGAAACAGTTGGCAAGTTTCAGGGACTCCAGAGGCAGGATATCTGGCTTTGCATTATGGCTCCAATATATCCTAGCTCTATGACCTTGGCTAAATTATTCCAAATTTCTAGACCTCAGTTTCCCCCATCTGCAAAATGGGATCACAATAGTAGTAACTGCCACATAGGGGTATTATGAAAATTAAATGAATTGACACAGGTAAAGCACTAAAAGTGGTGCTTAGCCCTATAAATACCTATTATTAATATAATATTACCTGGTATTATACTTATTCAGTGAAACTCTTGGCACCTTCTGACATAGTAATTGAATGGATGTAAAAACCTGATAGGAAGAATAAGGGAACTTACACAAAGAACTTCAAAATTTATACATTTTATTAAAAAATTCATAAAGTTTATTGGGAATTCCCTGGTGGTCCAGTGGTTAAGCCTCCGTGCTCTCACTGCCTAGGGCCTGGGTTCAATGCCTGGTCAGGGAACTAAGATCCCACAAGCCGCGAGGTGTGGCCAAATAAATAAATTAAATGTTTTCTAAATTTTTTTTAATTTACACAGTTTATAAATACTATAAAAGGATATGGGCTGAGAGGCTGCAAGGGGCAGGAAAAAGTAGACCGAAAGACTTCTTGAAAGAGGTAATTTAAGTGCATCTTGAAGAATGACTATAATTTTAACAAGTGCAGGTGAAAAAAGGCTATTTCAGGTAGGTGGCATAGCAAGAGCAAATGTTCAGAGGCTGGAAAACAGGCTATGTTCAGAAAAGAGAGACTAGTCCCATTTTATAGGGACAAAGTGAGGATAGAAGATTCCCAGGTTGGAATCAGGCTTGAATAGTAATTCATAGTTCTTTAATATTCTCACATATGAGCAGTAGTTTTTTTTTTTTTTTTTTCCGCACTACGCGGGCCTCTCACTGTTGTGGCCTCCTGAGCAGTAGTTCTTTAGGTGATGCATACTTAGAAGTCTACGGACAGTTTCCTTTGATTTTTACTTTACTAAAAGCTATTCAGGCCAATAACATTCCAAATGACAGGCTTCCATTTGGGACATTTTCTAAATGGAACTAATATCATCTATACAGGGCATGTATTGAGAGAATATCTGTTTAACTGTCTCAATTTTCATTTTAGGTTTACACTTATGTGATTTTAACGTTCTTACTTTTCCTAATTGAGGGTTATGAAGAAAGGGTTACGTGAAGCAGAATCAAATTTCTAAAAGCAGGAACGAAGAACTTTCCCCATTATTGCCAATACATTATCTGGCCCATGAAGACCTGGTTTTGAGTTCCTCCTCTCTCACTTACTAGGTGGATAGCTGGGGAATCATCTTTCAGAGTTGTCTCCTCACCTGTAAGTGCTGATAACAGTGTTTGCCTTTATCTCACAGGCTTATAATGGGGTTCATATTAGACAATGTATGTGAGGCATGCATTTTTTTCCCTTTTTTGTTCTAAGGACACATAACTGCCATTGCCAAATGTATTTGTTTGGGAAAAAATGACACATACATCCCCAAACACTAATGCAACTCTTTTGGTATCTGTGCCTTTGTCCATAAGTTTATCTTTTCATAGTTACAGTCAATGAAAAATCAAGCATTTTTCAATGCTGCTATAATCTCCATCACTTTCTAAAGTAAATATATTAAATTTATAAAATGTTTCACATATGCCATAATTTAGCCCTTTCTGTTTATTAAAACAGTCCTCTTATTTCCCTGATTCTATCCACATCATCTCCAGATTAGAGCTCTGCCTTTTTTTTTTTTACTGAAATACAGTTGACATTCAATATTATATTAGTTTCAGGCGTACAACATAGTGGTTTGACATCTATAAACATTAAAATTGATCACTACAGTAAGTCT